GCCTACAAATTTACAATTTGGATGCCATGTCTTAGACTGATACTCTGAAGTTAGATTCCATGCTCATAGTATACCTAGCTTGTGATGGTAGAACCTTTTTGTCTGTTAATTCTTAGTATTATCTATTTATTCTTTGAAGTAGTCATTAAGAATTTTGTGTGTATTTGTGCAGGCTATAAGCATATTAACGTCCTCTGTTGAGCTCTTGGACCTCATGAAAAATGTGGACATTGTTTTTCATTCAAAGCCTTATGGATCATCCAAATCAATGCTTAATAGCTTACATAGGTTTGTACCTGCAATTCGTGAACAACTACAGGTATGTTGGTCTTTGTCACTTGAGCAATAATGCACACATAGAGGGGGGCATTTCGGTTCGGTTTGACCAAACTGAACCGAACTAACCAATCCAAAACCTAAATAGGTGTAATTCGGTTTTACTTAGGTAGTGTTTTCCCAAACTGTTTTAATACAAACCAACCCAATAAAAATACAATAAGATGAATAAAATCTTGATGAAGATGAAGACGCTAAAATGCAAATCAGGCCTGAATTGAACCAGAGCAAGTTGTGTTTTGATTTGGCATTTTGGCAATCCATTCCCTAACTCATTTTAAATCGAACCCTACATCAAAAAACCAAAACTGAATTCTAAACTCTCACTCCAATGCAGAATGCCCACACACAATATATGAATCAGATCTGAAATATTTAAATTTCAGGACTGGGAGGATGGTTTATGTGAGAGTGATGCTGATGGATCATTTCTGCGTGAAAACTGGAACAAAGACTTGCGACTTTTCAGTGATACTGAAGATGGTGGACTGGAGTTGCTTCAGGTTAGTAGCAAGATAATCTGAAACTTGTTAATTTCTGCTTTCATGCATCTCTAAGGGTATGTTAGCCTCCTGGAAAATGTGTGTGAAAGGGAAACCAATCCTAAAAAACATTATGCTCTTATAATCTTATGTTTTCCTTTAGGTGATGTTTGGGAACTAGATTTCATTTGAAATCTTAGGTTTCAATTTCAGTATGGGCCCGTTTGGTATACGGAATTGAGGGAATTCGTATTGAATTGGAATTGAAATTCCATGGGATTCAATTCCATAGAATTGAATTCACCAATTTCAATTCATTTTTTGCACTACCAATTCCAAATCCACATAATTTTTGTGCTACCAAACACCTGAATTGGAATTGAAGTCTTCAATTCCAATTCCACAGTTTGAATTTCGTGTACCAAACGGGACCTATTTGAAATCCCATGATTTCAAATTCCAAATGTTTGAAAAACCATAGAATTTCAATTCTAGAATTTCAATTTTGAAGTCGGCAAAGACGGAAACAGAAGTGGTTTGATATTTGTGGAATTGTTGTTGCATAAGGGAAAAGACTTTATGATTGTATGTTGTAAATTAAAGAAAATAACTTGGATTTGTAAATGACATGGGGGAGGTGTGAATTTGTAATTGAATTTGTCTTGAATTAGAAGAATTTGGTCCAAATCCAAATTGTTTGAATTCCTAAACAAGTAATTTGGATAAAATCCGGATTCGAAATCCAAATTCAAGTTCCCAAATTACTGTATTTTGTGTATATTTAGTTTCCTTACTTCTTAGTGTTAAGATGATAGAAATTAATAAATGAGTGAAACGACTTTAATTTAGGGTTAATTACAAAAAAAATGCCCAACTTTCAAATAGTTCACCGATCAGGCATGAGCGTCACGGTATAACATACAAGTGCACATTATTCTACATTGGTAGCTAAATGTCATTTGAATGCTGGTGTGGGCTTCATGCGGTGGCTGCCAACAAATCAAAAACGAAAGTTTTACTTCAGAAAACATGTAGTAGAACCAAAAAATTGCATTCAAAGCCCTAGGCCTGATTCAGCCGAAGTTGTGGTTCGAAGTTTTAGGATTTGCACTCTTCCCCCCTCATTTCCATTCTTGGTGTTGTTATACTTGAAGTCTGGAACATCAATTTCTGAAACCATGGAAAGTTGGGGATTTTTTGTGTGGTAATTATCTCATGACATTATCATGTTTGAGCTAATTTGTTTATTTATAATGTTACTCTTTATCCTCTGCAATATATTTCACTTTCTTTTCAGGTGCCAAACTGATCTCTCTCTCTCTCTCTCTTGCAGCTTTTTGTGTTGAGAGCAGAATCTGAGTTGCAAGTGCTGGGTACTGACACTGTTGCACAGAACACAGAATGCTTGAACACACTAAAATCCCAAATAGGACTCCTGTGTGGTACTACCCCTATCACTGAGAAGCTCATCAGCAGGCCAGGGACAACAACAGTTTCGGAAGCCACACGGGACGAGATTTTCAAGCCCAGAAGTTACACAAACCGCACAGTGCCCGTAAAGCGTCCCGTATCTAGCGACGAAATCGCATGGCTTGCAAATCTGCTCGTAAGGATATCGGGTCAGATAAACAAGTCTCTCGGGCTAAACACGGTTGAGGGGGCCCACGAGAGCCCGTGTTCCTCGTACGTGACAGTGCCGAGCGGTGCAGGGGAGGTGTATGGACTCGCGGAAATGCTGAAAGTGGTTTTCCGGTTGGTCGTGTCTTTGCTTGGTGCCCTGTGTCGGCACGCCAGAGAGTTCATGAGAAAGCGCGGGCTCAGGGTTAACCTTAGGGCTTTGGCATTGAAGAAGGTGGTGGTGATGATGGTGTTCATGGCTGTGGCCTTTTCCACTCTGAAAAGGGGTCTTTCAGGTGTTGCAGTTTCAGGAAACAATGTGTTTTAATACAAGAAGAGTAATAGGTTAGGGGCACCCTGCCTTTACGTTGGGAGACCGTGACCTTTAGTTTTGGGGCAGGCAAACTTCTATCTCTGAAGTTGGTTTTGATTCATAAACGTTAAATCCAAATGGGTAGATGAAAAAGAAAAGTACCAAATACTTTTTTGGTGTAGAAGTATAATAGGTACAGTTGAAGTAAAATTCCAAGCACTTGATATTTTGATTCGAACCGATTGGATTCATTAAATAGAATCAAATTTAGTGTCGAATCCAAAAAAAGCACATATATAGGATTTTAATGTGGAGTATCTCCTAACTCTTAATGTTTTTAGTTTTTTTTTGTTTTTTAAAGTTTTTTTAAATTTCCTCTAGTTTTAACAATTTTTAACAATTTTATAGGTGTTTATGTTTCTTCTTACTTTTCCCATCATTTAGAGGTCAATTTATAGGTGGTGTTTGAGAGTGTGATAGATTATTAAAAAACTAGAAGTATTAAGTAGAAGCGGAAAACAAATATTTCTAATTTTGTTTAAAAGTACTTCTGAAACTTATTTTAGACCGGAGAAGTCATATTTTATAAAGAGAATCAAATTGGCAAACACTACAAATAACATTTGAATGAAGCAAAAGCTAAGTAATTTTTAAATGCAACCCCAAACACCATAGATATGAATTTTGAATGTTTGCTAAAATATGCATTTTGAAATATGAAAGAACTTGAGTATTTATGTCCGAAATAAAAATCCAACAGCATCAGTGGTTAGAATTTAGAATCCCATTCTGCAAACGTTTTTTGCAAAACTTTGTTGGATAATCAATACCCATCTGAAAATTTCTAATTAAAAAATTAATTAATAAAGCTAAAACTAATTCTTGATGACAAAGAAGAAAGGGACTATGAAGAAAGAGATTGTGTTGCGATCCATAGGTTGATGAGGAAGAAGGATGAAGGTGATGTAAATCTGCGACACAATGTGTCAGCGTAAATTTATTTGGTTGAACTGACATTTTATACCAATGTGAACCGTTAAAACGGCAGTGCATTCTTTTGGGATACAACTTGTAGTACACTTTTTGGTTTACCTCTAACATGGTTGAAATGACTTCTCGAACAAAGAAACGGAAGTCACTTTCCAAAAAAGAACCTTTATTTTCCGTTTGACTGCGATTATTTTCCATTTACCTTATTTTCCATTGCCGAGTCAAACACCGAAAAGGGGGGAAATGACTTTCACATGTCATTTCCCCCGTTTGTAGAAGGAAAACAAAATACTCTCATTTTGGTGAAGGAAATGAGAAAAAATTATTTTCTTTCCTTTTTTTCCTAATTTTTGAACCAAACAAAATATAACTGTTTTGATTATTTTTTAGTGTTTTAGTTTGATAGTTTAACTTTGGGGGTGTAATTGAAGAGAGTGAGATGTGAGTTCAGAGTGGGTGAGATGATGAGAGGTTAGAAGGGGCAAAACCATCAATTTTATAAACGAGACATTGTAATACACCTAGGTCATCTCATGATATTGAGATGCAATGACATGGTAATCGAGGTGAAATAATAAAACTAAACATTAAAATTACAGTGTTTTTAAACCATTAAAATCAAAGGCTAAAACTATTGTTAGGGCCCCAATATTACTCCTCTTTCTCATTCAAATCTGAATTTTAATGTCCGAACCCTTTTATTTTATTTTTTGAAAAAAAAAATCAGAACCTGATTTTTAAAAATAGAAAAATAGAAAAATACTGTAGAAAAAAAGAAACAGAAAAGAAAGATTGTTGAAAAAGTTACCCATCGGGCGAGCTTCATTTTCTTCTTCCACAAGTCCACAACCAACGCCAAACCCTATAACTTAAGGGATATGCTAGGTGTACACCAAAGGTGTACCCCAAATGTACACCACCTTCCCTCTCTACCATTTATTTTATTTTATTTTTAGTTTTTACTTTTTTTTGAATTTTTTTGCCTTTTTTGTGTGGTGATGGAGGGGGTGGGATGTTTGGGGTACTTTGGTGTACCATTTTCCATAACTTAAAAGCCACCAAACCATTTTTTTGCGCCATTTCCTTTTGAATGTCTCCATAGTCGAATTTCTTAATTTCACACACCATTAATCTGCAGCAGACAGCGAATTGAAGAAGAAGAAGATGAAGTTCAGGCCTTCTAACGGAGTTCCTCTGTTCAATCGCCCAATCCGCCTCGATAATCTCTTCAAACAGCGTCTCCGCTTCATTAACTTCCTTCGCAAGACACAATCCCCTCAAGCTCGAGCTTCCGTCAATGGCGGAAGTGCCGGTAGCAGCTCTCGCAGTAAAACCTCCAGTTCCTTTGTTTCAGTGTGGAATCCGTGAGAATCGGCTGTGTTTTATCTGTTTGGAGCTGATTTTGATGTCGATTGGTTTGCAGGTAGAGGTTTCTTCTTGCCTGGTGCGACTGTGGCGACCATTGCTATGCTAGGCGCTCTTCATGCTCGCCGTCTCTACGACGATAAAAAGGTATTTGTATATACGGCAAGGTTCTGTTTACACTGTATGCGAGTGTCAACGGATGACACTCGCTTATTTTGAGCACCTTCGCTGCTCTGTTCTCAAAATTCAAAATTGATGCTTCTACCCCCACCTAACCCATCTCATGATAGCCACACATTTGGAGGGGCTAAAAGAGGGGTCTGGGGGTGCGGGGGTTGGAATGGGGTGAGGATGCAGTGAGGGGTTTAGGGGGTGGGTTAGGGGTAGGAACAATCAAATTTTCATTTGGAGCCTTAGAGGTGCTCGAAATAGGCGAGTGTCATCCGTTGACTCTGGATGACAATATCAACAGAACCTCGCCGTTGTATATATTTAATTTTTTTTCCTATTTTTTAAATTCTGAAATTTTATACATAACCAGATTTCTGCTTTCTAGACATGACTATTGGATGAGTGAATTTGAATATTGCAAAACTGTGGCCTTCATTGCATGTGAAATCTTCTGCATCTGTATTGTAGATTGAAGATGCAAGACAGAAGGGAATCGAGATGGAATTCCAACCTGATGTGAAAGTAATCAATTCTACACTCTCTGAACATTCATGGCTAGTGATTTGAAGTTTTGGACAACAGAGTTCATTCTCTACTATCACATTCTTAAGTTCTGAGTGTACTGTGTTTTTAATGGCAGGCATCATTTATGAGATTCCTACCTTTGCGCTCCATTTCCAGGTTCTGGGGGTTCATGACTAGTGTGGTGAGTAATGTTGTATTCGAGCGAGTATAAAAGGTGGCATTCATTATTCACTGCATTTCGTTCAATCTTCAAACAGGAGTTTCCAGTGTGGATGCGTCCATATGCATATAGAGCATGGGCTCGCGCTTTTCATTCAAGTACGCCATTTCCCCATCTCCTTATTGTTTGTCAAATACTCATAGTGTAAAGTTCTGAGCAAGTTAGGCTGCTTTGTAACCCTGAAATTTTACGGAAAGGATTGAAGAGAATGGTTTTGTAATGCTTGATTTACCTTGATAATACAAGGAAAATCAAATTTGACTGTGAAGTTTGAACCATTTTTGTTTTCTTCCCTACAAATTTCTACTATATTTTTAATTTATTTCTATAGCATTTTCTGGTTTACAAACAGACCCCTATTCTTCTAAGCTATGATGCGATGAACTCTGTGTGATAGAAATATTTGTTGCCTGATATCAGACTTACAAGAAGCAGCTTTGCCTTTAGAAGAATACTCATCTTTGAGGGAGTTCTTTGTCCGTACTCTTAAAGAGGGTTCCAGACCCATTGATTTCGACCCATGTTGTCTGGTAATTGGTTGCCTGTTTATGTGTTAAAGAAAAGTTTATCAATTTTTGTCTAACTGTAAATATTATACTCCCTATTACTCCGTATGTCATATAGGTTAGCCCAGTAGATGGAACCGTTCTAAGGTTTGGGGAGTTGAAAGAACTAGGGAGTATGATTGAACAAGTAAAGGGGTTTTCTTACTCTGTTCCTGCACTTCTTGGCGGAACGTCATTCCAATCTATGACTGAAACTGAAGCAGACGGTAATGAACGAAAAAATGGTCGTAATGGAACATCTGACCCGGAGACAACTAAAAAATCATGGTGGAGAGTTTCATTTGCTTCTCCAAAAGTCAGAGATCCTGCCCCAGCACGGTATTCCCTGAAACACTATAATGCTATGTCTACTTAGCAGTTAATGCAGGGGGGAGACTTTGGAGGGCTCAGCCTATATCTTGATGTATATTTGAGATGTTTTTAAAACTGAATGATTAACCGAATAGGCAAATATATGATCGTACAATCACATTTTACTTGTGTTTAAAGATGTATATGATTATATAAATTTAAATATGTTTCTTTATCAAGAAATAGAATGCTTTACAATAGATTCCCCTACTGCCCTAAAACCATATCCAAAACCCTATATCCAAATAGACCCTTGGATCCCGCTTATCTTCAATCAATTTCCAACAGGCGCTATACTACATTTTTGGGTTTGTTTTCTCATTTTTATTTGATAAGAAATCCGGAAGGGGGGGAGCCTGGGCTGTTCATCCTTTTTTGAGGCGATGCAGTATAGTAACTTTTTCAAAATTTTGGTGCAGTCCAATGAAGGGGCTATTTTACTGTGTGATTTACTTAAAGCCTGGTGATTATCATCGCATACACTCGCCAACTGATTGGAATGTAATCCTTCGCAGACATTTCACAGGTAAGTATGCAAAGACAGTATTTTATAATGAGGAAAAGGTTCCTTTAAACCCCTGTGAAGTAGTTTATATGTTGTTCTTGAGAACTAGGTTATTACATTCTGGCTCTTGATTTCCTTTAGCAATGCCTTTAGTTATTCTTGTTTGTTTTGCAGGTCGTCTCCTTCCCGTTAATGAGCGTGCTACAAGAACAATCAGAAATCTTTATGTTGAGAATGAAAGAGTATCCCCTTATTGTCTAATGCACTTTTTCCCTGTTTTATTCTCTTCTCCTGATACTATACATCCGTTAAGAAGGCTAATAGAGTATATTTACGGAGTGCAAAGGTAGAAGAAATCTACCTTTATTATCATATTCAATAAATCCTCACTGCTTTCTTCTTTTCCCATAAGGTTCATGCCTTTTATAAAGATTAAAATCCTAAGCTCTCTGCTCAATACTCCAAAGACTAAACTTGCTGCCACCTAATGGTTAATCTACTACCTTTATGCTCTTCTAGTCTAGCTGTCTAGCATAATAATCTCTCATTTTTGTTTGTATGATCAGGTGGTATTAGAAGGTCGATGGCAAGAAGGTTTTATGGCAATGGCAGCAATCGGTGCTACAAATATTGGTTCAATTAAGGTTTTTAAATCCCTAAAATCTGTATTTGATTTGTGCCAATCAGTCCTGTCCACTATGGTATGGTGTAAACTTGTGTGAAACTCTTGTTAAAATATGTTTCAGCTTTTCTTCGAACCAACTCTCCGAACAAACAAGCCCCAGAAGAAGGTGCTGCATTTTGAACCTCCTGAAGAAAAGGTGTATGAACCCAGCACTGGTGTCCAGCTCAAGAAAGGAGACGAGGTACGACCTTGAAAGTAGGGTGGGGATGGGTCGGATTCTGCTTTGACCCAAGCCCTAACATGGAAACCAAAAAAAAGTCAGGTCCTAACTTTCAAAAGTCAAGTCTCAAAAAAGGACAACTAAAACTTCGAGTGCATTTTAAGGTCTAACATTCGTGTCAGGTTTCATTTGGTTTGAGCACTAGCATTTTAAAATCATTTTCAAAATGATGGAAAATCTTATTCTAAAATCATGCATACTATGTAAAATCATCTATAAAATTGGAAAATATAAGTATTCGTCATCATTTAGTTAAATACATGTGCTCCTTAGATTTATAGTTTGAAATCTCGGATCGTGAGTTGGTTTTGACATGTTATTTGTAAACTCGAGACTGGATCACTGTTTTTACTCGGTATCATTATAAAATTTATTAGGGTGGGTTTAGCTTGATTATATTCAACCCCGATCTGGATTATAAAAATCGTGCTGCACTGAAGCCCACACCTACTTGAAAGTTTAAGCCTGACCTTCAGCAACTCATATGTATATACTATTATGAAGCATGTTAGCAAACATTTAATTTGTGCCCTTGAAAACCTTGCAGCTAGCTGCCTTCAATATGGGTTCGACGGTTGTTCTGGTTTTCCAAGCTCCTATATCACCACCTTCCGGCTTCAGGTTTTGTGTCAAGAAAGGGGAAAGGATTAAGATGGGAGAAGCACTAGGACGGTGGCAGCACGACTCTCAGAAGAAACTCATATTGGACACATGAAGATGCCCAGTTCTCCTCTTGTGTTGGATTAATTTAGAATCTCCAGGTTTGAATGCCATATTATCATATGCAAGTTAGCTCATTCTCATCTTCATCATAAAACCTTCTCAAATCTTTCCCAAAACAATTTAGCACTTGTTAATAGGACCTCTCTTGGATGTTAGTATAAAATTTAGAGAACCTAAAATTACTTAGAAGCCTCTAGTTTCGTGCCATGTGAGTGAGTGTGTGTATATTTTGTGTGTGTGACTGTGTGTATATTTGTGTGTGTGTGTGTACACGCTTGTGCCAGTTTGGGTCAAACTCAAAATATTTTGCGGGTTCAAATTATACTGCAGTCCCGGTATGTACGCCTCAATATCCGCTTTTTTATCCGCAATTAGGACGGGTTGAGCGAGTCAAACAAGTTGACTCGAGTTTGTGCAAGTCTATTCTATCCTTATAGAGTAGAGATGAGACCATAGACAAATAATGCCCCGAAAGCAAGCATGGAAATAAGCACCAACAATAGCCAAATCCTAAGAGGACTCGACCATTCTAACACAAACTTTCCATGAGCACGACAAACCCATTCAAGATCACTTTTGTCATGAGGGTGCAAAATCAACCTCTTTTTTCTTCAAATATAGAACTTCCTTTCAAAAGACAATACGGTAAAGAAAGATATCAAAAATATTGTCGACATGTTGCATTACATTTATCAAGATTCATAAATGTTACTCGTTCCTTCAAAAAAAATTAAAAAAATGCATGTATCACTATGTAAAAGAACCAAGTTCTGTTTGTTTTAGAGGAAAATAGTTGGCGTGGAAAAGGTTTTCTTTTCCATACAAACTAAGCCCAAGCATGGTGTTGTGTTTGGTTTGAATTTGTGTTTGGTTCGATAAATTTAGAAGAAAAAAAAATCTCTTTTCCTTAGTTTATTTTGTCTTCTCATTTTTTTTTCTTCTACTTTTTTTTTCTTGCTTACTCAAACTACTCAAGTATTCACTACTTTTTTTACTAGCACTACTTTTTTTTTTACAGTCGCAACCCACGCATGAGCACTACAACTTGAAAACACTAGCAAAACATACTCGGAGTACTTGTGGCAGTGTACCCCAAATATCAAGCACAGACTCAAGTTTACATCGGTGTCGCAGAGTTAGATGCCCCGTCCACTCTTGTTTTTTACACACTTCTTTCAACACGCTTACTTTTTGCCTTAAAATGTGTGAAGTCAAATTGGAATTTTAGTATTGGGACAGAGGGAGTACTAATTAGTACTAGTACTCCCGCATTACGAATAGGTTATAATGATACGCATTTTGGATGTCATATTATGACACGTCTGATGCCCTATAGTGCTCTATTTTAACACAAAAAAGACCAAACTTGCAACCCGAGACATGAGAACATAACCAAACATCACTTTAAATGTCTAATGCACAGTAAACATCAACAGTTTCTTTCCCTTTATTTGATCTGCAAGCAATGGGATGATATGGCCAGAGTCACAAAACAAAACTGCAAATCAGAATCCATATCAATCAAATTATCTAAACCAACTGAACATACAATTGCATCAATTTTAAAGCATTTACATGAAGAAGATATGCAACAGAGCTCTTTGTGACCCCTCTCTAAGCATACAAAGAAAACTTTCATACTTGACTCTTGGACACCTCTATATCAAAACTTTGTTCCTGCAACACCGATTCAAGGGTAATCACACATTCAGAGTAATCAGACATTACAACATGTTTGGATTAAGAAAAAAAGTAGCAAGCAAGAGGTGTTTGAAGTACTGTCCCAAAAAACCTTTGCACGGTATTGACTTTCACAGTGTTTAAGAAAGGTGTTGAAACGCGTATGGTTGGAATTTGTTTAGATGAGAAAGAAATCACGTGAGCCACATGTTTATTACTTTAGAAGGAAATGCACTAAGTTAGAAGTACTTTATGGGATGCCCAAAATGGGAAAATGGGAAATGTTTTTTGGGACGTATGAAGCATTATGATGCACTGTTCAGAATACCAATGTAGTAGAGATAAAAAATAATACTCCATCTACCCTTGGGTAATGTTCTGGTTGTTGGAATACAAAACAAACTATGTGTTAAGTAAAAGCATGTACTGTATTTCTATGTAATTTTTCATGAATGATTTACACTTTCTTCCTGACCATTTGAAAGTAAGAATGAATTCATAAAATAAGCATCACCTCCCCTAAAAAATCCTCAAACCAAACAAGGACTTGCTCCCGAGAATGCTTCCAACCAATCCCCCCCCCCCAAAAAAAAATCTCTTTGAAACATGTTGTGTCCATGAGAATCTCTCAAAAGAAAACTGGAGTTGGGGACATCCATGGGTCAAAGTAGCAATGCCCAAAATATAAAGGGAAATGTGAAATGTACACCACGCCCAAACTTTTGAGTTTTGAACTATACAGACAAGTTTTGTCTGAAAACTATGACAATTTGTAAAACAAACATGAAAAGACTTTCAAATTTTGAAATGTGGTGTAAGTTTAGGTGCATGTAGCATTTCATAAATAAAAATAAAAAAATGTTAGTAGCCCCAACACTCACCCCATCTTTCAACCAAAACTTCTCGTAGACATTTAAATACGTGAGAAATTGGGGATGAAAGGTGAAGTGAATGGTGGGGTGTCCAAGCTGGTTCATAAAAAGCCATCAAATTAACTTGTGATATGAACCACATTCTGCTATCTTATTACAAGAACAAATTGTCACGGTTTCATTGACATTGGTACTCAGCATCATATGATGACATTAGTCCATTTGGGCACCTACGGTGCTCCGTTGAGTCCAAAAGTGGTTCTTACCCTCCGTGACCCAATCCCCCTCCATTTCGCCAAAGGAACATGTTGGGGAAGGGCCATGACATAGGAACCATTTCCGGACCCAACGGAGTACAATTTTTGGATCCTATGACATTGAAAACCAATGTCATTTGAACCTGAAAATAAAAGAATTTATAATCTCTGTGACCCATATTTTTAACTCAGTGAAATTTTTTCAAACTACTTTCAATGCAAGGGATTTTCTTCATCTAGAATTGAAAGGAAACAATTTTTACTTTCAACAAAATGGAAGGCCGAAGACAATAGAAAGGCACACCTACGTCTGTTTGGAGTAAGCAGATGAAGGCGCGCGCTTGTTGCGGAACATCATGTAGCCGAGAGGGAGAACGACGCCGGCCATCATGATGGCGGCTCCGATCAAGTACCTCAACGGGCTCGGCGGCTCCACCTCCAACACCGTCCTCATCTGCAGTTCACCGCCGCACACATTTCATCAGATCGCTCCTTTACCATAATACCCCCAAAAAAATGACATCTAGAATTCTCGATCCAGAAATATACTCACAGGTATGCAGCCAAACTGTCAGTAGATCGGCTTCCGAATCCAACGGAGATTAGCGACAGATATTCGCCGGAGAAGATCGAATCAAACCGTGTGATTTGTTTCCCCTACGATCACAAAAAATGCGGATTTCAAATTGGCCCGAACCCCCCGAGTTAATAGTTTGGTAGCTAAGGGTGAAGCAAAACTCTATTGGCTGTTGTCCTGAATCCTGATTGATAATATGTGGCTCTTTGTTGCTATATTCATTTGAACCATGCTACACTTACACCAAAAAATATACCAAAAAATATATCTCATTTGTACACCACAGGCTTGCACAAACATTTCGATGGTTTACACCGACACAAGTGTTAGTGCGTTAATAAATATTCACACGGACACAAATGTTGGTGCGTTTAACAAAAATTAGTTTTACATCAACACAAAGTGTTTGTGCAAAACTGCGGGGTACAAATTGGGGTACACATAGCATAATCCTATTCATTTTGTTAGAAATGACAATTTTATCCATCTCCTTAAAATGGGAGGGGATCGAGACACATAAATAGTTTTTCATTTCCAGACACAAAAATAGTCTTAGAAACCAATGTCAACCTAAATATATCTTAGAGTTTTTCTAGATATCCTTACAATTCAAATCATTTCGTAATCATCAACATATTCATTTCAATTCATAATTTAATCCTCAACAATCATTTTAATCAGTGGTTTCATCAAATCAAAATCATCATAATAATCATTCATCATAATCATCAATCAACATAATATTTGATAACAAACAGCGGCCTAGTCTCGAGTATTAACACCCGAACTTACCGTCATGCATCACATAATATTTTATATGCCAAAACATCATTTTTATTGTACAAACTCATATTTATATTGTTTATAATTAATTGGTATAAAAAATAGGATTTCACAGAATATTTCCAGGAATATTTTCGGAGCTGGAACTGGACTATTGAAGAAAAATAATTTAAAATGATCAATTAATTTATAAAAATTGATTTATATAATTTGAATAATCAATTATTTCATAAAAATCAATTTTTACAATATAAATAATCCATTAATTCATAAAAATCGATTTTTACATTATAAATAATCAATTCATAAAAATCGATTTTTGCAATATAAATAATCCATTAATTCATAAAAATCAAATTTTACAATATAAATAATCAATTAATTCATAAAAATTGATTTTTGCAATATAAATAATCCATTAATTCATAAAAATCAATTTCTAGAATATAAATAATCCATTAATTCATAAAAATCGATTTTTACAATATAAATACTCGATTATTTGTGTGTGTATATATATATATATATATATTAATCTATTATTGGAACGGAAAAATCGATTAACTGGTACTGGCTTCGAACTGCTAATCTGAATAAAGTTCTAATCGATTCTTAGTAAGGAAATAATCGATTTTCAGCCACTGTTCATCATCTTTAACATTATCATTTTTAATCACCAAAATTCAATTAAATTATATAAAAATGTTCTCCAATGTTCACAAATCATTTTAGAGTCATTAATTCGTAGTTTTAACATCAAATTCAAGGTTTATGATTTTTAGTTCTTCAAGCATGCCAAACACAAAACTTAACCAAATGACTAATTATGAACATAGAAACGACCTATATGAACATTCTAGTCATTACATATATCTACGGGCTTATCTCGAAGCTTATTGAAGGTTTTGGAAATTTTCCGGCGAAACTTCCAGCGAACACCACAGCTTGCTCCGGTGACCTCGGCGCTAACTAACTAATGCAGCATGCTCTACTCACTCTCAGGAACA